CCTGCCTCAGCCTCCCGAGTAACTGGGACTACAGGTACGCACCGCCACACCCAGCTAATTTTTGTATTTTTAGTAGAGACGGGGTTTCACCATGTTGGCCAGGATGGTCTCGATCTCTTGACCTCATGATCTGCCTGCGTCAGCCTCCCAAAGTTGCGGATTACAGGCATGAGTCACTGCACCGTGCTGTTTTCTTTTCTTTTGTTTTTTTTTTTTTTTTGAGACGGAGTCTCGCTCTGTCGCCCAGCCTGGAGTGCAGTGCCGGATCCTCGGCTCACTGCAAGCTCCGCCTCCCGGGTTTACGCCATTCTCCTGCCTCAGCCTCCCGAGTAGCGGGACTACAGACGCTCGCACCTCGCCCGGCTATTTTTTTGTATTTTTTAGTAGAGACGGGGTTTCACCGGGTTAGCCAGGATGGTCTCGATCTCCTGACCTCATGATCCGCCCGTCTCGGCCTCCCAAAGTGCTGGGATTACAGGCTTGAGCCACCGCGCCCGGCCTTGTTTTCTTTCTTTCTAACAAGGTAAAGGTTTAGGAAGAAAATTAGCTCCAATGTAAAAAATATAGAAGCTACATTTTCTTTACTCATCTAATTTATAATTATTACATTTGTAATACTATCATAAATTCTGGTCACAGCATTAATGTTGGACAAGGCTAAATTCAAGCAAAAGTGTTAAACAAAACAAATACTAAACTTTATGATATAGAATATAACCCACAACGAGATTATAACTTTCTTGGTGCACAAAAGTTATATTAATTTCATAATGCATAGACTATATGGAATGCAAGGGAAAATAGACTACAACGTAGGATTAGGAGACTCTAACTCATAATTTTAGCCCATGGAAAAATCAATTAAAGAAAAAAGAATTAAGAATGTTTGGTATCAACTCTATAATTGATTAATATTAACATAATAAATCTGTAGAAATTGCTGTCCTAATAAAAATAATTCACCTACTTTACAAGAATTCATGGTACCTTTATAAAATTTTGACTCTAAATCAAACCGAAACAAAGCAACAACTAGAAATGCATAGAACACTTTATTGACTGTATAACCCCACTGATAAACTATAGATGAAGAAGAGGAGGAGAAGAAGGAGTCAAGAAGGAAGAAAAGGTCGTGAAGAAGAAAATCAACCACATAAATATTAAGAAACTTGCTTTTAATCTATACTTTGATCAAAGAAAATATCAAAACGAAAGTTTCAAAATATCTATAAAATAATAATGAAATGCATTACATATTTTAAAATATGGGCCAGGCTGAAACACTACTTTGAATTAAACCCATAATCATAAACACATTATTAAGATAAGAAAGAAAAAATAAATTAACATTCAAGTCAATACATCAGAAAAAAAGAAAACAAAATAAAATTAGAGAAAGTGAAAGGAAGGAAAAGGAAGAACAAATACTGTGAATTAGAAAAATAAAATCAGTTAATTATACCAAAATACAAAAAGTATTAGTGATTAATACAAAAACTGATTTATTGAAATAATTAATGAAATAAACCAGTAGCAGGCTTAGTCCAGACAAAAAAGAACATTAACACAATTATAAAAAAGAAATAGCCACAAATATGGAGGAATTTAAAACAATCATTACAGACATTCAGATAAATATGTTTTTATCCATAATTTTTGGAATCGGTCTAAAATACTCCATTTCTTTTTGTTGTTCATAATATCAATGTCAAAAAAATGTCATAGCAAAGCAAGTGAATTTTAACGTTGTTAAATCATGAAAATCTTCAAGACTGTTTAACTAAAATATCTATAGATTTTGGGTTTCCATTGTTGTCAGTGGCAATTTTTTTTTTCTCAGAGCATCTCTCAGTGACTGGGCTCATTATTTCATGGCCAAAACAGTCACTGGGGCTTCGTTTCTTAAGTGATTTTATTCTGAATATAGAACCTTCCAATAGGGGCTAAATCTTAGCATCAGCAGGAAATTATAATGTTAAGTATACTCTCATGCCTCCAACCATCCCCAAAACCACCAGTCGAGTAAATTCCACCAATTTACTCTAATTAAATCTAAAAAGTGTCATGTGTGCTTTAAATGTCAGTCAATTTTGAGGTAATTATACCTGAAGGCAGGAATCCATCAGGGTCTCTTTTTTAATAATAAATCTCAGATGGGAAGTGAGAAAGTCAAGGAATATTTGCAGATAATTAGTTCCAGTCCTATCTTTCTTGGCTGACAGTGAAAGGATAGGTGCATTTTGGGAAGGATACATAAGGATGTGTTTGTTTCTGTCATCTCCATTGCATTTTTTTCAATGGGGTCAATTTCATCGTGAATTTATAGGAAACTGAGATTTTAATTTGAGGAAAGAATATACAACCTACAATACAAGAATAAACCTTCACATGTGTAGAATAATGCTTTTGAAGGGGATCAGGATATGCCATCCCAAAATATGTCACATTAGCTTAAGAATTATTTTTATCTGAAGGCAATTGGGAATCAATAGACATAAGAAGAGTTCTCTGCTCTCCTCTTATCTGCCTAAAATCAGGGCCAAGATTTCCCTTTTTGAGGGTGCACCATTATCACCACCACCACCACCCTTACCAGGAAGGGAAGCACAGCTCTTATCATTGAGATGGAGAGTCAACATCAAAATGAGTCTGCATAAACAGATCTTACTAAAATATCCCTTATCTTCCATTCATTCTCCCATCTATTTCCTAATCACTTCCCACAATTTATTACCCCTTGAATCCCAAATGCTCTTTCCTTTGTTAAAAGGGTATATAAACCCGTAAGTCTAACTACTTATTTGAGTTTCACTTCTCTTTTATGAATTCCCAGGCATGTAAATATTAACAAAAATTGTGCGTCTTTTTCCTGTTAATCTGTCTTTTGTTAGTTTAATTCGCAGGTCCCCATGTCTGGAACCTAAGATGACGGGGGAAAGATTTTTTTTTCTCCCCAACACTTTATAGTTCTCAAAATGCTTTCACAGTTACTCTCTCATTCCATTCTCGCAACAGGTCTCCAGGTAAGTAGACCAGGTAAAATTGTCTTCATTACAGATAAAGAAATTAAGGATTAGATATCAAAAAACTTGCTATAAGATTGTACCTCAACCAGAACTAAGCAAATTTGCTGGGCATGCACAATTACTTCCCCCTCGCACACCTATAGCAGACATCACTAATTCATCAAAGTAGTCTTTTCCCTGAGGACAAACATCTCCAGAATCCTTCCCAACACAGTTTCCAGGAAACCACTTTGATATCCCTGAACTGTGACTTCGCAGTGATATCCAAGAATATTGGTAGTTTTCTACCTTTGCTCCATGGACAGTCTTCTCTGGCAATAGAGTATCTCTGAATCCCTTTCTTTGAGAATCTTTACCCATATTACCTTTTTCTAAATAATTTTCTAAAATTAAAAACAAAATGTTCCATACATATAAACTTGGTGATACTTCATAGTCTTCTCTCTCAGAGGCTGCAATGGACCCTCTTCTCAGGATCAGCATAAGACACATTCACGGACTTTGTCTCTTTGAATCACCCTATTGCCTGGCTGACCATTCTTAGTATTAGCCAGAGTACACTCTTAACTTCTGAGGAAAGGTAAAGTGGTCTGGAAAACTCTCTTTGCAGTGGGAATTCTCCCTTAAGGACATGTCAATTTACACATGTCCCAGAGTTTTCCAGCAAAAGTCTTAATATCTGCATCTCAGTTGCCACAGCAATTTCCTCAATACAGGGAAGCTTAGGGAATGAGGGAAAAAAAAAAAAAAAAAATCAGACCTGAGAACTACTGACATGGTTTCTTACTGCAAAACTGTTTTATCTCTAAATACACTACATAAAAAGGTCAAATAAAGTTCATGTAACTTTTCAAATCATTCCTGTTTTCTTGGTATGTTTTGATTGGCCATCAGAAAAGAACTTTTCTCCAGTAAGTGTAAAGTCTGCCATTCACATTGCTGAAGTTTCTCTGCATCAAGATTACACATGCTAAACACAAAATTTGACAAAATAAGGCAATTGATCATTTTTAACTTAATATTTTTTATTTGAGCATCATGTTCCAGAGAACACACACTGAGTTTGCTGCAGAAGGTTTGTATACTTGGTGTTATCAACATAGAATGAGAAAATGAGATCATAAGAGGGAAAACAAACCGCCCCTTTTTCCTTCTCTTTAAAAGTATCTTTCTGGGGCCTCATTCCCTTAGGACCCTATCTCTACTAGCCATGATATCAGCAAATTTGTGATGAGAAGTTAATGGCCGATAATACCCCTCTATCATATAAAATACGTGTATTTTAATAGGCCCAAAGGCAAAGAAGCAGGTTTTCCAAACACTAAAGAAAAAGGATAATATTGCACAATAGATGCTTTTAGCACCCCTAGATATCTGCCTATGTGTGGGTCTATCTCTCACTCCTAAAATTAGAGCCTCACTAGAAGCTAAAATGTCAAATAATCAAATTCATGAACCATACTTTTATTTAGCTTTCTACTACGAAGGACAATTGAGAAATCAAAACCAAAGCTAAAAATGAGCGGTCATAGTAAGACGACAAGACCACCCATCTCCTAAATTTTCTAAAACAACGTGAGTTGGATTTTGTCAGTGATTACCAGGGAAAACTAGATGTTAGTCTTGAAAGTAGAAATAGGACAAATGGATCTGATAAAATTAGTCTTAACTCATCTTAGGTGGGGTCAATCCTATGACGCTACAGAAAGAAGTTATCTCTATACCCTCATTTTCACCAATATTTGCTTATTCAAACACACATAAATCATAAGAAAGAGCCATGACTTAGCTTAGAATGTCATTTAGAATGTTGATGTCACTCAACATCTTGGGATTTCTAAAGCATTCTATAGGACCAACAAGATATTCCCAAAAGAGAGTTTAAATAGAGGAGTTTGATTTTAATTTCAGAAATTTGTTTGTCCTAGAGTTGTACAATCAGAAAAGGCATGTGATAATTAAAAAGAAACATACCTGTGAACACTTAAAAATTTGGGTTACAACTGAAGAGTACACCTGTAGAATAAAAAGAGAATCTGTCTTGAACGTCATATATATGGTACCGGTTTTCTCTTTTAAAAACTGCTCTTTATTTGATAGGTAAAGTTGACGCTGATTTGTGGCCCATGGGTACTCAAGTTCACATCCTTCTCTTCTTAACATTTAACACTGATCCCAACTCCACCAAAAATCACAGGGGTCCAATAAATGTTTCTTATTGATGTTAATAATGATGTGGATGGGCTGGGGGCAGTGGCTCACACCTGTAATCCCAACACTTTGGGAGGCCGAGGTGGGCAAATCACGAGGTCAGGAGTTTGAGACCAGCCTGGCCAATATGCTAAAACCCTGTCACCACTAAAAATACAAAATTTAGCTGGGCATGGTAACATGAACCTGCAGTCCCGGCTACTTGGGGGGCTGAGGCAAGAGAATCACTTAAACCTGGGAGGCAGAGGTTGTAGCTAGCTGAGATCACACCACTGCACTCCAGCCTGGGTGACAGAGTAAGACTCCGTTTCAAAAAAATAAATAAATAATAATGATGATGATGATGATGTGGATGATCAAAATAGACCAGGGTTCAATAAACTAAGGCCCAACAGGCCAAATCTGACCCACTGCCTGTTCTGGTAAATAAAGTTTCATTGAACACAGCACATCCATTCATTTGCATGTCGCTTATGACTGCTTTCATGCTATAAAAGCAGAGTTGAGGCCGGGCACGGTGGCTCACATCTGTAATCCCGACACTTTGGGAGGCTGAGGTGGGCAGATCACGAGGTCAGGAGTTTGAAACCAACATAGTGAAACCCCTCTCTACTAAAAATCCTAAAAATTAGCTGGGCATGGTGGCGGGCACCTGTAATTTCAGCTACTTGGGAGGCTAAGGCAGGAGAATCGCTTGAACCCAGGAAGCAGAGGCTGCAGCGAGCCAAGATCGTGCCACTACACTTCAGCCTGGGTGACAGTGTGAGACTCCATCTCAAAAAAAAAAAAAAAAAGCAGAGTTGGGTTGTTGGGATAAAACCACATGACTCACAAAACATAATATATTTACTATCTGTTCCATTACAGGAAAAGTTTGACAACTCCTCATCTAGAAGATCCCTTAGGAGTCATTAAGTAAGTGGTAATTGTCACAAAGTTTTCATGTGTAACAAATATTCTTCAGAATTTGCTGTCTTCTTATAAATCTCATCATCAACCCTCCCCTGTGACTGAGGCCCTGATTTCTTTCTTACTTGCCATTTCCCCATATCTGCAATTATTCACAAGATAACTGGGGCATCTACTACCTTTGATTCTTCTTCTTTAGTAAACACAATAAAATGAATAATCAGAGAAACATGCGGTAAAGTCTCTAACAATGCATTCAGAAGTCAACAGCAGGGATTGTAAGCAATCTCTCATTGTCATTTTAGTTGGGGTATTTGACATAACCCATAAAGCATCCCTCAGTGACATACCTGAAAGCTGTTACTTGGAAAGTGGAGCTAGTAAACTCAAAGAAGAAATATGATATATAGCACAGCTTATTATCAAAAAGGTTTGCACCTCTGCCTTAACTCACATATCCCAGTCAAATGAATGATAGTGAAACTGAAATAACATGAAACAGCCAAAAATATATTGCTTATCATTTCAAAGTAAAATGCTAGACAAAGTCAAGGATAATGTATATTATCTCACAATAAATATTATCCCTAAAGCATGACGATTTTCCACATGACATTCTGGAATTTAAAAAAAATTAAAATATTGATTATATGGGTCTTCTTTCCTCTGTAGTTGTTGTTGAATTTGACATATGATTAGAATGATGCAATTTATCTTTCTTCCTTCCGAGGAGTTGAGAAATAAAAGAATTTTGAACTTGAAGGATCTTAGTTCAACCCTTTGAATTTCATTGGATGAAATTGAGGCCCAAACCACATGCCTAACTGGAAGCAAAAACTGAACTAAAACTAAGATCTTCTGACTCTTAGTCAAAAATTCTTTTCTACACCATGATGAGTCCATTTATCAACAGATATCCAACATATCTGTTGGATATGTCAGTAGATAAATTACTTGGTGAAGAAATACTAAGGGGAAGCTTTGTTGTATATACTTCCTTTGTGGTGATGTAAGTTAAATTCTGAGCACCCAAGCAAAACTTTTAGAAAAGGTCTCATCACTCTTGATTAACTGCAGAAGAACTGAAGAGTAAACAGCTGTTCAATGAAAAGTCCTCATCTTAGTGAGGTCAGTCCCACGCGGGCTGACCTCACTAAGATGCAGGCACTGCTCTGCTCAGGCAGTAGTTACGACCATCTGCCTTTGGAAAAACTTGTAGTTCTTTTTTTGGTTACTCCCACTGCCCCTCCTGTTCCCTAGAGTGCACAGTAAAGACTAGATGCCTTCCGTATAATGACTGTGGTCAGCTATAAATACAAGGAAAATGAACATGCAACGTCTTGATGTCAAGCTAATTTTAGCTTAACAGTTTCATTTTAACTATGCCCAACCAAGACTGGACACACCATGGTTCAGTCTAAGAAGTTTTAAAAATGGAAATTACAAAACCACAGCATGGAACCCAAATTGTTCAGATTGTAGTAACAGTGATTGAAATGCTCTTGGTTGATGTTGCCAAGAGGAGGCCCTTCAATGCACAGTGGTGAGCTCCCAAACCACATGGATAAATAGATTCGGTCACTGCTATGAGGTGAACAATAGACCCTATGTTGTGGCTTCGGCTCTGTTGTCATGAATGTAAATAGTTTCTCATCATTCATATGTGGACAATGCTCTGTGTGTTACAGAACACATTCTGTGGGCAGGTGTGGAAAAGGTTTCTTACCAAGTTTTATATACTGCCATCTCAATCTTTTACCTTAGCTTTTGGAGTCAGCAGAGCGTCTGACTACTGTTTCAATCCACAGAACAGCTACAGAATATGTCTGAAGATTCCAGCCTGTTATTTTTCTTCAAATCTGGGTTTCAATCTTGGTTAATGTTTGCCCAGAAATATGTAATTGCGGACTTCCTCCTCATAAACCCTTCTAGAGTGTAGGCTGCCAGTCTAGCATGCTATTATCTCTTTGCCTCAGGGCTAACGCAGGGTGTGCCCTCGTAGTCACAGGATAGATAACCTGCTCCCTGCCAGGAAGCCAGGATGGTTAGAAGCTGCCGCTGAGAAAAAACACATCTTGCATGTGTCCAGTATTGTTTGTGTTTCTCCTTTGGATAAACACATTTTAAATGGTTTATTAAAAACTCACAGGCCGGGTACGGTGACTCATGCCTGTAATCCTAGCACTTTGAGAGGCCCAGGCGGGTGGATTGCCTGAGTTCAGGAGTTTGAGACCAGCCTGGGCAACATGGTGAAACCGTCATCTCTAGTAAAATACAAAAAAATTAGCTGGACGTGGCAGCATGTATCTGTAATCCCAGTTATTTGGGAGGCTGAGGCAAGAGAATTGCTTGAACCCCAGAGATGGAGGTTGCAGTGAGCTGAGATCACACCATTGCACTCCAGCCTGGGCGACAGAGTGAGACTCGGTCTCAAAAAATAAATAAATAAATAAATAAATAAATAAATAAAAACAAAAACTCGTGCTCGCCTTTTTCTTTCTTTCTTTCTTTTTTTGAGAACTCTTCATTTACTCTACTCACATTAGTCACTGTGATTTGGATATGCCTGCTCCCTGTTCCTCACTCAACCTAACTTACAGAGGAATTGTTTTCCATTCACTGAATGTCACTTCCTTGTGAGGCTCTGTTACACACTTGCCCCCCAACCACCTGCCCCCAGAACATGAGCACACACATACAGACAATATTAGAGTTTACTGCAATCTTTTCTGTTTTTGAGACAGGCTCTTGCTTTGTCACCCAGGCTGGAGTGCAGTGGCACGATCATAGCTCACTCAGCCTTGACCTCCTGGGCTCAAGTGATCCTTCTGCCTTGGCCTCCTGGGTAGCTGGGATTACAGGTGTGTGCCACCATACCCAGCTAAATTTTGTAGTTTTAGTAAAGACGGAGTTTCACCATGTTGTCCTGGCTGGTCTTGAACTCCTGGACTCAAGCAATCCGCCTGCCTTGGCCTCCCAAAGTGCTGGGATTACAGGTGCAAGCCACTGTGCTCCACTTATTGCAACCTTATTTAGGCTACCCTAGTACTGTATTACATCTCTATTATAAAATACCATGGACTGACTTGTATTATATTTACCTATGTCCCTTCACATTTACTTCTTCAGCTAGATTGACCTTCTTATTGATCTCTGTATTCTCAGGGCTTACCAGTTAGTTCAGTCCTCAAATAAACTTAATTAGTAATGTTTTTTGTGTTAAAGTATAATTTACGTATGTCAAATTCTCCCTTTTTCATGTACAGTTCCGTGAAATTTGATAATTGCATACAGTCATGTAACCACCACCACCACAATCAAGATATAGACCAGTTCCATTGCCCCAAAACATACCCCATCCTATTACAGCTAACCCCTTCCCCTCAGCCCCAGTCCTTGGCATCCCTGTTTTCTGTTCCTATGGTCCTGCATGTTATATATATATGAAAGCATTCAGTCTGCAGTCTTTGGAGTATGGCTCCTATCACTTAACATAACGCATTTGAGGTCCATCCATGTTATTACTGTAGCAGTAGTTCATTCCTTTTTATTGCTAAGAAGTATTCCATTTGTAAATCTGCCACAGTAATTATACCCATTCCCAGCTGAGAGACATTTGAGTTGTTTCCAATTTGAGGAGACGGTGAATAAAGCAGCTATAAATAATCACATTCAGCTTTTTATGTGAATACATGGTTTTACTTCATTTAGATAACTAACTAGGAATAGGATTATTGGGTCACGGTAAGTACAAGTTTAACTTCATAAGAACCTGCTTAACTGTTTGCAGAGGCTATATTTCCTTTCACATTCCCAGCAGCTGTCTATGAATTCTAGTTTCTCTACATCCTCACCAACACGAGACATAATCAGTTTCTTTGTATATTAGCCATTCT